TGGGAAAATAACATGCTTCAATTATTTTGAAAATGATATCTGGATTTGCTGTTCAGTTAAAATAGTATTTTCATTTCCTATGATTATTTTCCTCTTTATATGAAGTCTGAAATCTTACAAAATTTTATACAACAAGCAATATATTTTGGTTTAATATATGACTATGGATCCAACTTTTTAGCTAAATGGAAGGCGAATTGTCACAATATTGTCATTTCTCTGTTGAAGCTACACTTTGAGGGCAATTTTGTTTTACCTCATATTTTGTATAAATCTCCATATGTCTTTCTGTGTATTTTTACAGTCTACCAAAGTTTTGTTTTCATTCTTTCCATCTTATGCTATAAAGCTTAATATAAAGATGTATTTTTTCCAAAGACTCTAAAGATAATTTTATACAAGTAGAAAAAAATATGACATTAAGGGGCTGGGAAGGTGGCTCAGTGGTAGAGCGCTTGCCTTGCATGCATGAGGGCCTGGCTTCGATTCCTCAGCACCACATAAGCAAAAAGAAAAAAAAATGACATTAAAAATTTTTGAAAATGCTTTTGATATACACATTAAGTTGGTACCAAATGAAATTCTACTTCCCATTTTCACTATTTGAATTTACCACAAAAACTAAATAAAAAATTGAGGAAGTTAGTAGAAAAACCAACATGTAGCTTCTTCTGACTTAAGTTTTATGACATCTGTTCATGATTCTAGAGAACAATAAAAACAGGTGGAAGAGCTTAAGTCTCTTGGAGAATATTCTCAAGAAAACCAGGAAACTAGTAGACTAACATGTAGAAATCATTTAAAGAGATTGCCAATTCTATTTAAAAAAACTGCAGCAGATTTCATGATAAAAAATACGAGTAAAATAGTAAGCTGAATTTGCTATTAACATAAAAAAGTAAAATTTTGTGGAAGAAATGTCAAAGTACCATAATAAGCATTCTTAATGTGATGGCAATGCATGCATAACAGTCAAAGAAGCATTGAATATTGGTCAAATGGCAATTGTGAAACACCTGTATTAAAAGTGTAAGGTGAGGTATAGGATTAAATGTGGAAATTATCCTATTTCATATCACAAATTTAATAATTTTTGAAATTGGGAAATCATGAATTAGCAGCATAAACACAGATTCCATAGTTCTTGCGAGAACCATTGAGTACTTACATGCAGTAAAATAAACTCCTATTTCTCATCAATTATAAAAGTCAATTAAAACTTGAACAGGGTTAAATATAAGATTTCAAACTATGAAAATAGAAAAAAATAGGGGAAATACTTAAGGATCTTTGAGTAGACAAAATTTCAATTTGAACAACCCAAAAACACAATCATAAAAGCAAACCAGATAAATGTAACTGCATCAAGCTGTTGAGAAGAATGTGTGCTCTGTAACTTTTTGATGAAATATTTTTTAGATGTCTGTCAAATCTAGGTGGCCTATGGAATCATTTAATTCTGGGGTTTCTTTGTTGAGTTTTTGCTCCTATGACCTATTTGTGATAATACGTTACTTATGTCTCCTATTATTGTGTTAGTGTCTATCTGTATTTTTAAGTCCAATAACTTAACAGAATTGTGTACATAGACATTTGGGGCATACATTTTAACAATTGTTTTATGCTTTTGGTGTATTGTTCTTTTTATTAATGTGATGTTAACCACTTTGTCACTTCAGATAATTTTGAAGTAAATTTTAGGTATGGATATAGATACTTCTAGCTACTTTTGGGGTTCATTTGCCTGGAAGATCCTTAGACAATGTGTTTTTATCACAAAAACTTAGTTGGTGCACACAACAAATGATTGGGTCTTACTTTTGATTCTGTCTAAAACTGGAATTTTTATAGCAATTCCTACTATCTCACTGTTGTTTTATTATTGTTTTATTTTTTAGTGTTAGTTTTGTTTCCCTACACTTACTTTGCTTATCTACTCATCATCTACTTATTTCCTCTGCTATTTTCATGTTTATATTGATCTTCCTTTTAGTGAAGATCCTTTGGGTATTTCCTGTTGTGCTGATTTAGTGGTGATTAATGCAGCTTTCATTATTCTTTCCTTGTTCTCTATACTTAGTATTTTGATTATAATGTCGTGAGAAGCTTCTGTTATAGCCTGATTTGGGGTGTGTCCTAAAAGCTTCTGTAACTGTATTGTTTTCTGTTTCAAATTGCAAAATTCCCTATTATTACTAGAACTTCTCTGCCAGTTCTGCATAGTTTTTGTCTTTTAATAAAGTCCAGAAAAATTTCAAAATCACTCTTTCCCTCCTGAAGATCAATGCCCCCCTCAGGAAGTTAGAGCCTTTTTTGTTGTGAGCTTTTCCCTTTCCACTTCAGCTGTACATTTGGAGAGTGAATGACATGTGTGTCACAGTCTTTGTGAGTCTAGCTGTCAGCTTCCTGTTCTTTCTTTTGTGATAAAGAGCCAGATCTGAGAGGTTCTACTCTAGTCAGTAGCTTCCTGCTTGCCTCCTTCAGTCTTGGGTTTAGAGACCAAGACAGGCTGGAGAAAGAAGTGGATTTACACATTTACAGGTCTATAGTCAACTATAAGATCTCTAATTAGCTTATCTAGAGAAAAAAACTTTTTGGGAATTCAGCTTCTGAGCTGGACTTGGACCTGTAATGACTCTCAGGCTGGTAACTTTGGCTATAGGAGAGTTCATGTGGTTAACACTTATCACATGTGGGCTGGGTGTGTTGTTTTTCGTATGCCTGCTAATGGGAAGATTCTTTTATGGTATACGTACTTCTCTACATGATTGGCACATTTGTTGAGTAGTTCTCAGGGATAAATATGGTTAATCCCACTGGCTCACTTCCCTGTCACCATATTTTCTTACCATGCATTGAGGCACAAATGTTGGTCAGTAGCTGCTGGTTGACTAAGAAGGCTTGTGAACCTGCACTCAGACCTTCGTTTTAGTATTTTGTTCATGGTGTGTGTGGGAGTGTCCATGCTCTTAGACTTTCTCCTTCATTGCTGTTCTGTTTATTACTAGATACATAGCTGGCAGTGATAATTAGGCCTCTTCCTCCACTGTGTGTATACTTAATTAAGAATATATTTTGATTACTCAATTACCTATTTCTCCATCTTAGTATCTTTAATTTTATCACTATTTCTTTATATTTATGTATTTTTTTGAGTTTTTGTTTTCTTTATTTGTATATATATATTTTTTTCGTTTTTTCTTTTCTTCTTTTTTCCTTTCTCTGAATTTCTTTGAATTATTTTCCGTCTGTTCCTTTTTTCCCTACATTCCTCTCCTCTTACTTTCTCCTCCTATTTTTTTCTGAATACCTCTTAATTTCTGGTTCTTTGTTTCTTAGTTTGTTGGTCCCTAATTGTTTGTTATTGAGCTAGGCTGTATCTGTATTCATTTTGATTGTGTCAAAGTGGCTCTTTGAATTATCTGTTCAGTCCATATCAAGTTAAACCTCATGACATATTTGTTCACTGGTTGCAACTATATATAATCCCCACTCCTGAATTACAATACCCCTTCCCTAACGAAGTAAAGAAATTTACTTCTGAAATTATTTAGAAATGAAACAGCTTAAGCAATAGCCTCCATTTTCTGAGTTCTGGTGACATCTGGATAAAAAGAAGCACATTCAAGTTTCAGTTGTTCCGCGCTTACTTGAATGAGTTTGGATAACCTACTTGGTATTTTAAAGCATAATTTTCTCGCCCCCCCCCACCCCCCGTGCAGCCCTCCCCCCCATCTGTCTTTCTGTCTGTCTCTGTCTGTCTGTCTGTCTCTCCCTCTCTCTCCCTCTCTCCCTCTCTCTCCCTTTCCCTCTCCCTCCCCCCCCTCTCTCTCTGGGTTAGGGTGCTCAAGTCTAGCACTTTACCACATGAACTACATCTCTATGTCTTGCTTTCTTGGTGGATAATTGGAGATAAGAGTTTCATGGACTTTTCTTCTTAGGATGGGTTCAAATCACCATCCTCAGATTTCAGTCTCCTGCATAGTTAAGATTACAGGAAAGAGCCCACCAATGCCCACTTTAAAGCATGGTATTTTAATTTATGAAAGCATAAAAAAGCTTTATAGGTGATAGTATATATGAAAATTCTTGGTTAGGATCTAGCAGAGAGTATACATTTTCAGTGAATTTTGCATATGTATTTGGTTAGCAAGTATTTTTATTTATTTTCAGTCTCATTTATATTTGAACAGAAGCTTTGTATTTCCTTAATGCTATGACCATATCAATATTTTTAAATGGAATCAGGGGTTTTTGTTACTACTAATGACCAACACAAGAATAATGTTATCATGCAGAAAAAAACCTTGTATTGTATTTTTATTGAATATATTCAACAATTACAGTATGACAAAAAACCTGCAGAAAACTGTATGAAAAATAAAATACATAGGGCTTTCATTAGGAAGTATATCATTTAACACTACCAATTGCTATATTAGAAGTAGATATTATGGCTCAGAGAATTTGAGAATAAAATTACTAACCATAAATATGGAAATATTCTTGATTGAGATTAACTATGTAGGATGAATAACTATTCAATCCTAATCTTTTGATATAACTAAAATCAAGATAAAAATCAAGTTGGAACATATAATTTACTTACCACTGATGGTGTTGCTTAAGGAAAGAGTAGTATTTGAAAACATCTAATGTAACTGAGGTTTTAAGATTATGTTCTAACATTGAAAAATTTTCCAAATACCTTTATATTTATCAACTTTTGCTCTTAGCATTTCATAGATATTATAAAAAAAACTAGTTATACTCTAACAGTCAAGAACAATTTTTATTTCACCTCTGATGGATAGTAGTACCTTAGATTTCCAACTGCATTTTAGCAAAATCTCTCCTATTAGAATTAGACTCAAATATCATCATTATTTAATAAGGTAATTTTTTGGTGGTTAAATGGAATGTTTTATTTTCTCAGTACATGACAATTTAGAAAATAACTATTATTATATAGAAACCAGTTTTTCCAAGAGATTTGATACTTACTTTGGAATGGCACGTAATTTTCTATTTTTTATTATTCTTTTGATAACATTTATTACTTCTTTGTTTCTGAGGCTATAAATAAAAGGATTTAGTAAAGGGATTATTAAAGTATAAAAAATGGCAACAGGTATATCTTTATCCCCTTCTTTAAATGAATTTGGCCGAATATACACAAAAAGAAGAGAGCCATAGAACATTGACACAGAAAGGAAGTGGGATGCACAGGTAGATAAGGCTTTGCCTCTTCCCTCTTTGGACTTCATTGTGAATATAGTGAAAAGAATACAGAAATAAGATATTAGAACGATGGTAATTGAAAACACTTGAACAAACCCGGACAAGATAAGTATCATTAAATCATTGATATAAGGATCAACACAGGAGAGTCTGTATAATGGGAGAACATCACAAAAAAAGTGATTGATTTGATTCGACCCACAGAAAGTTAACCTAAACAATAATGCTACTTGAACAATGGAATGTAGGTGTCCAATTATGTAAGCTCCTGTGGTCATGAGAATGCAGAGTTTCTTGGACATCATGGTGTGATACTGCAGTGGGTTACAAATGGCCACATAGCGATCATAGGCCATCGCTGCCAAAAGGAAGCAGTCAGTAGTTTCAGCCAGACAGAGAAAATAAAACTGTGCCATACATTCATAGAGTGATATCATTCTGTCTGCAGAAAAGAAGTTCTGTAGCATCTTTGGAGTAATGGCACAGGAACAACATGCATCCATCAGAGCCAGGTTTCCCAGAAAGATGTACATTGGTGTGTGAAGACGATGTTCAATGTAAATCAAGGCCACCAATCCAAGATTCCCCACCATGGTGACCAGATAGATGGCAAAGAATACCACAAACAGGAGGCCCTTCAGCTCCGGATGATCTGTGAATCCTATGAGGATGAACTCAGTTGTGAATGAATTGTTGTCCTCAGTCATCCTTTGCTTATCTGTTGAGACAGGATTTAAGAGACAGAAGATTGTATTTAAGCACATGCAAGTTTTCATTCATGTAAAGTATATTTTATAACAGCTAGAAAGCTTCTTTTTCAAGCATTTACCGCATCTTCTTGTACTTCCTGGACATTTCTTCTCTCATTGTAATTACCAATGAACTCTAGCTGTAACTGTTTAAGTACACAAAGATAGTAAAGAGTTTAAAGTAGAAACATTGGATTTTCATACATTGAAATTATTTCCCTGTCCATTTTTAAAAAAGATTTTGTGCTAGGAAGGTGGCTCACTGGTAGAGTGCTTGCTTTGCATGAGGCCCTGCGTTTGATTCCTCAGCACCACATAAGCAGAAAAAGCCAGAAGTGGTGCTATGGCTTAAGCGATTGAGCATTAACCTTGAGCTAAAGAGCCAAGGGACAGTGCCCAGGCCCAGAATTCAGGCTCACGACTGACAAAAAAAAAAAAAAAAAAAGAAAAGAAAAAAAAATTTCAAGGACAAATTTAAATTCAATTTCTTAGAAATATGTTCCTTGTTTTTAAAAAAAACTATTTTTGTGTAGCCCACAAATAAGGGATCATTTTTAGAATGCATGATAAACACTTGTTAAATTAAACTATTAATACATGTTAAAATATGCATATTTAGTATTTTAAAATTAGTATAGTATTAATATACTATAATCAAAGGTACCTGGTTAATTAATTCAATTAAAATAATAAAACAATCTTAGATTATTGCTAGTCATTGACTTCCCTACATATAGTAACAATCATTTTCACAAAAACAATCATTTCATCATTGACATTATTTTTTTCCCAAAGACCTTAATCATTTTTAATTGATAAAGAATAGCTTGTAGACAGAGCTACTTAATAAAGTTTCATCTAAATGCCCCAGGCCACATCAACATTATTTTCTGAGTTGTAGAACACATTGACTAATGCTAAGAATGATTTATAATTTATTTTATAAAGTATACATTGCTTTGCTAGATGTATTTAATCATTTCCTTATCATTTCATTGATGGATTTTTGTTATTATCTTTCAGTAAGTATACAAAGGGATTTCAATTTAACATGTCAGTTTATGAACACCTCCCATAATTCTCCCCAATCTCTCTCATGCCCAAATATTTGTTGTTCCATTTTACATATATAACTTGAATAGTATGACTGCATTTACCTAGTCTTCCTCTCTCCCTTTATCTACTCCCACCCCAATTGTATTAATACCTAGATTTTTAAAAACATACTTCTTAGACAGAAACTGTAAAATACTAAGAGGAGAGATAATTATGTATCTAAATAATAGAATACTTAAGTAGCAAGCACAGTGCCCTGAAACACACACACACACACACACACACACACACACACACACACACAGAATGATAGTAATAAACATAGTATGATTTGGGAAGAAGACAGAAATAATTCCCATCCTATATTCCTCACCACCTTGTTTTAGTCAGTTAAGTTTCCTTAATTTGAATCACACATATTAACTACTTATTTTGGGGAGATTTTAAGGAAAAATTTCAGTACTATCATTTAATGGAATTATGATAGCTTTTTTTAAACCTATCTTGATTATTCGTTTCTCTTTTCATATTTCCTATGAAAATTGCATAATCTGCATTTTTCTCTTTTTTTTTTCTGCTTATGTGGTGCTGAGAAATCGAACCTAGGGCCTCAGGCATGCAAGGCAAGCGCTCTACCACTAAGCCACCTTCCCAGTCCCTGCATTTTTCTCTAATACTAAAAGCTAATATAAACAGGCTTTTATTTGTAAGTTCTTAACACTTAACAAAGAGAATGAAATGCAATTACATTATAATAGAATTTAAAATTTCCATTTTATTTTGATTTAAATGTTTCATATTATTAACAATGTGATCTGTTACTATATATTGACTTAATAATCAACTCAGTGAATTCTTTTTAAAGTTATATGTGAAATTTATTTTTGCATGAGAAAGTAAACTTTTCCTTTCTTTAATTGTAAAGGTGACCTATAGGGGGTTTCGGCTACATAAATGAGGAAATGAGTACAAGTCTTGTTGAACATTCTTACCTCCTCCCTTATTTTTTCCTGCTATCCCTCCCTCCAAACTCCTTTCCTCCCCAAGTTGTAAAGTTCATTTCCAACATAGTGTCTTGTGAATGTCAGTGTTGCATTGGTTCACCCTATGTCCTTTGTCTCATCATTTCTGAAATCACATAATTCTATGGTTAAAATAAATTTTATTTCCATAATCAAAAGATCAAAGGAAGAAAGTAATACATTTTTTGTTCTAAAATGTTAAATACAAAACAGATATGTAACCAGCTAAATTGAAATGACTTTCGATGCACATGCCTGAATTATTTAACACTAAGATTTATATTTTACTTGTACAATTTGAAATTTTATCTGTGATTCAGAAAATCAGATCAACTGTAGCATTACATAATACTCAATTTTGAGAAGAGCTAGGAAAGGGTTATTATTTAGAAATATAAAAAAGTTAAATAATTTAAGGAAACACTTTTGGTTGCTAGTATTAAAGTCCATTCCTTACCTAGATTTCATGAATAGAAAAATTTGAGACTTCATTGTTTGCTCTTTGACGATGGTGTCAGAAGTTCAGTATGTATATGTAACATATTCAAATGCACTTGGGTTTGCAGAAATGAAAATCTCACTGACCCAAATGTAGGTCAGTGTTGGTAATCATGTCCCTTACCTGGTAGAGTGTTCTGTCAAATCCTTTAGGGAACTGCCTGTTCTGACATCAGTGTATTTCTGTGGAGACATGCATTCCTGAATAATTCGAACCATATGGAATTAAAGCTGCCCTGTGAGACAAGAAGTATGATGCCAATAACTTTCACTAAAGTTGGTTGGAAGATCATCTGGATGATATGTGTCACTGCTACTATTACTATCAATACTTATTATCTATCTATCTATCTATCTATCTATCTATCTATCTATCTATCTATCTATCTATCTATCTATCTATCTATCTATCTATCTATCTATCTATCTATCTATCTATCTATCTATCTACCTACCTATCCACTGTTGTAGTGATTCTGGGGCTTGAATTCAGGGACTGGGGGCTGTCCTTATGCATTTTTTTGCTTACCGCTAGCACTCCACAGCTCCACTTGCACTTTTATTTATTTTTTTCCTGGTGGTTAATTGAAGATAAGAGTGTCATGAAGTTTCTTGTTTGATCCACAGACCTTACCCTTCTTAGAATCTAGGATTAAGGCTACCACCACATAGCCAATTATTACTATTACTATTACTATTATTATTTACAGATTTCTTCATATTCTGTGCATAAAATATAAAATTGCCAGGAAAAATCACAAAATAGTTTGATAGTTCATTGGACCAAGTTAATATAGGTTATTCAAAATACTAATATTTATAGAGGAAACTAGAGGGTATGTTAGGTTCAGTCAGATTTATTTGCTTCTTTATTATGTGGGTTCAATTTATTTCCAAGTCCTACAAAGTACTTAGTAAAAATATAATTTGTCTATACTATATATAATTAATATTTTCTCTGGTCTTTTATGTTCACACAAGATCCACATAATCATTAAATGTATGTGGTCTTTTGTAAGTCCATAAGTTTTATACATGCTATCAGAATAATGTGTTAAAGAAAATAATTTATAACAAAAATTATGTACTAAAGAATAAAATTGATGTTTGTTACAACTGAATTTGAGTTTGTTTAAATAGAAAACATCTGTAACAAAAAACAATTCAAAAATTTTGTGGTCTTAAGGAGATAAAGAATGGAGCATCAGAAAACACTGACCATACATATTTCCTATAATGAAAAACCCCAACAGGATTTAATACACGTAAAGAATGATCAAAACACAAAAATAGAGAATTTAATTTAGAAAGAACAAAATATTTGAATAAATACCTAACAAAAATAATATTCTAGTGGGGTATTGTTGGATCATACAGTAATAACAATTCAGGCCAGGAAAAAGTAAAGCTCCACCTCCAATTGTCTAGCAAAATGCTGGCTGTAGGCAAGGTTCAAGTGTAAAAGCACCAGCCATGAGCAAGAAAGTTGAGCATAGTAAGGCCCTAAGTTCAGCACTTTATATCACAACACACACACACACACAACACAACACACACACAGAAAACATATAAATGTCAAGCATAACAAAAATATGTTCAGTTAGGGATGTAGAGGTAGAACATCTGACTAGCAAGTGTAAGAAATGGAGCAGAAATTAGTACCACAAAGAAATGAAAGATTCTTAAAGTCACTTATATTAGTGTATTTCAAGTAACGAAAATGAAAGGATGTTGAAAATAATAGTTAAATAGCAATACTATTTTAATCACAAAATTCTTATGGAAATGTAAAGCAGGAGAAAACCACATACTCTACTGTTCTAGATCTCTCCTTTAAGCAAAGATATGGCAGGAAAAGTGGGCACACCTACTGTGTAAGTCTGTTTTCTAATATCATTTGCAAGTAACAGTAACTAGGGTTATTTGCGGAAATGTCTCAACTCTAGGACTAAAGCACAAAATATATAATATAAGCTTGTATCACTTTGTAGTACAAAAATAACATAAAATTATGAAATCCCTAAAAAAGACAAAATATATTAACTTATACACATAATTATGTATGAAAGAGCAGGTGCAAGCTTTGTTTTGTGGAGATATAGTTTCACACTTTTCTGTTTGGGTGGCTTAGAACCATGATTCTCTAGACCTTACTCTCTCAAGTAGCAAGAATTTCTGTCATAGGCCTCTTGGTTGTAGGTAGTTCTTCTTTCCAGAATTTAGCCAGATAGCCATTGAAAACCCCCATTATTTTTATCTCAGATTTAACACTGAATTCAAATGTCATGCATTATTAAAGCAACGATAGTAAAAGGAATTGAAGATGTATCTTTAGTAACAAAGTGGCTGCCTGATTAATAAAAGTCTCTATTTATTCCACATTTAGCCTTGGTAAAAATGAAACAAAAACTGAGAAATAGAAAATTCACACAGGATTGCATCATCATATGCATTAGATGTTCATTAATAAGGAATCAAGTTGTCTTCCTTATTGTAACATTTGGTAAATAATGCCTAAATGAGCTATCAAATTTAGGATGGCCCATTGAAGTAGTGATGTTAGGGGTTCTTGGGATACATGTGGCTGTACTCTATTATTTTCCTAATTATGTTAAACCATATCTGTTATTTGCATAACTTTTTTTGAATCTAATGATGAGGAGATTTCAGAAAACTATACATTTTTCAAAATATTTTATTAGGCAACTGAGCCTAAGATGAAAAACAAATCAGTAGAGAGACCATCTTATGTTTCATTGGAAAATTTTGTGCATAAAGTATAAATTAGATGATGTTAAAGTTCTTGATAATAATAATAATGTTATCATGATTATGTATGAAAATGCCTGTGCTTGCTGAAATATTTGTTGGAATAGTTATTTTTAAATTGTCATGAGGTTATCAACTCTATGACAGCTTGTAATCTTGTTTAAGCAAATGGGTGTGTGTAGTAATGATCTGATTTTCTAGCTTTCCTAAAGTATTAACATCGTTTTGAATTAATACCAGTCAAAAATGTAATTGATCCACATTTCCCTGGAATCTCTGCCATATGTCTTTTCTACTTCATCATGAGTTTCTATGTTTTTACAAAGTATTTTATGGTATGACATTTAGAACCATGTTTTTGAGCTCCATCTGTAGTCTCAGTTGGAAACTTACAAAGCAAATCATAAGTTTGTTTATAGATATGATAAAATACGTAGAAAATAGTTTTGATAAGTAGTGAAATGGAATGGTCTTTCAAAATCAAATTAGTGGACATATGAGTATTAAAGAATAAAGGAACAGATATGTAAGAAATAGGCAAGAGGCAACTATATAGCAGTTAGTATTTATCAGTCACATATATAACATTTTTGCAAAGCAAGCATATATGGTAAGATCTCTTGATTATTTCATGAGACAGGAGGGTTCATTATAGCCATTTTGAGTGTGTGTGTGTGTGTGTTTTCCTCATTTTTGTCCTTGTATGAGTGATGTGTCTGCTTCCAGATTGAGTTTTCTTCAGAAGGCTATGTGAAAATAGTCTGTGAGAGATTTCCCATTCAGTCACCATAACTTTCAGAGATAGTGAGACAACGTAATAAATACTTCTTTTAAACCGCCCCCTCCATGTTGTAAAGTCAAGATGTACATCCAGTTGGGACATACAATTCAGTTACAATGCATAGTGTAGCTTAATCCTAGATTAATATTGAAAATTTCTATTATGCTTCAATGATGAGAAATTTGTGAGCTATATATATAAATATAGAAATTTCTATATACAAGCTTATATATTCAAACCCTGGATTTGAAGACTATTTACAAAAATTGTATCTGAAAATAACCCTTATTTTACTGCACGTATGTTTTAGTACCTACAATTTTCAAGTACAGTAGAGCAAAATCTCTTCTTTTAGAACTAATTAGTCTCAAAGGTCATCATACTTTAAAAAGTTAATATTTGATTACAAATATTCTACTTCCTCTGTCTAAGTCACTTTAGGCAACAGTAATTTCAAACTAAAATCACTTTTCCATTGACATTTTCAGAATGTGAAAAATGTTCTATTGTTAATTATTCTTATTATAACATTGATTACTTCTTTATTTCTAAGACTATAAATGAAAGGATTTAACAGAGGAATTATTAGAGTATAAAACACCGCACCAGCTTTGTCTTTATCTCCTTCATTAACTGAATGTGGCTGAATATACACAAAGAGCAGAGAGCCATAGAACATTGACACAGAGAGGAAGTGGGAGGAGCAGGTAGATAAGGCTTTGCTTCTTCCCCCCTTGGATTTCATTGTGAATATAGTGAAAAGAATACAGAAATATGATACTACGAGTACTGTAATAGTAACGATTTGAATTAACCCTGCCAAAAGAAGTCTAATCAAATCGTTAATGTAAGGATCAACACAGGAGAGTTTGTATAAGGGAAGAATGTCACAAAAAAAGTGATTGATTTGATTAGGCCCACAGAAAGTTAACCGAAACAATAACCCTACATGAACAATGGAATGTAGGTTTCCAATTAGGTAGATTCCTGTGGTCATTTGAATGCAGAGTTTCTTAGACATTCTAGTGTGGTGTTGCAGTGGGCTGCAAATGGCCACATAGCGATCATAGGCCATTGCTGCCAGAAGAAAGCAGTCTGCAGTTTCAGCAAAACAGAGAAAATAAAACTGTGTCATGCATTCATGGAGAGATATCATTCTGTCTGCAGAAAAGAAGTTCTCTAACATCTTTGGAGTAATGGCAGTGGAGCAGCAGGAATCCATGAGAGCCAGGTTTCCCAGAAAGATGTACATTGGTGTGTGAAGACGGCGTTCCATGTAAATCAAGGCCACCAAACCAAGATTCCCCACTATGGTAACCAGGTAGATGGCAAAGAACACCACAAACAGGAGGACCTTCAGCTCCGGATGGTCTGTGAATCCTATGAGGATGAACTCAGTTGTGGAAAAGTTGTTGTTCTCAGTCATCCTTAGCTCTTCTGTGAGATAAGAGTTCAGAGAGGTAAGTGGGGGAAGGCGCGGGGAGAGGGAAATGGGTAACAGTGTTCGACAAGAAATGTGCTCATTATCTTACATATGAAACTGTAACCCCTGTATACATCACTTTGACAATAAAATTAAATTTTCAAGCATCTCCTGCGTTTCATGGAATATAGCTTTCTGTACTTCCTGGACATTTCTTCTTTTAGTGTAATTACCAATGAACTCTAGCCATCACTGCTGAAATTACAAAGATATTCCAAAGATACAAAGACACTGCTTAAAGTAGGAATGTATTCTTATACATTTATAGACAGATAAGAGGCTCACTCTTCTCAATTTATTTCACTGTCAGTTTTGGAAAGATTTTTAGAACAAATTTAAACCCAGTTTTCTAGAAATATGTATCTTCTTTTTCTAAAGGACTACTTTTAAATATTCTGCAAATAAGGGAGCATTTTTAGGATGCACGCTAAATACTTATTAACATAAATATTAATATGTATTAAATTATATATGTTAAAATGAATACATGAGTAATCTGTTAATTATAATCAAAGTTACTTGGTTAATGAAATCAATTAAAATAATCAAGTGACCTTAGATTATTAACAGTCACTGTCTTCCTCACAATAGCATCTCTTCCAACACCCTATTGACCCCTAAATCCTCCTAGTTCTGTTTTCTCAGAAGTTAGTTGAATACCATGATTTCATTTCCCCATCCTTCCTTTTTCCTTTCATCTACTCCCTCCCCTTGACCTACCCTAGTATTACCTTATATTTGTTTCACATACTTCTGAGACGGGACCTGTAAAACACTAAGAGGGAAGATGATCATGTAGCTCAGTGATAGAATACTTATGTAGAAAGCACAGTGCCCTGAAGCACACACACACAGAAACATACACAGACACACACAGACACACAGACACACACACACACACACTGATCATATTTTGGGGAGAAGATAAATCATTCCAATCCTATATTCTGCTATCAGTCAGAAATGAATGACCTTTTTTTTTTATTCAGCTAATATTCTTAGAGACAAATTTCAAACTGAACATTTTAACTGGTAATATTGGGGAGATTTTAAGAAAAAAATTCAATACAATCATCTTAAGAAATTTTATAGTATTTTTAACTTATCTTCATTATTCTCTGCTCCTTTTCTATTTCCTATAAAAATTGTGTGTGACAATCTGCATTATTACTAAAACTAAAACAAATGATTTAAACAGTAATGGAACCTTGTTGTCTTTTATTTCTGAGGTTTTAACACTTGACAAAAAAGAGAAAAACATTTAAATCCTAATAGAATTTTTAATTTACATTTAACTTTGCTTTAAGATGTTGTTTCATGTTATTATCTAGGTGATGTATTGTTTTATATTGGTTTAGTAATTTGATCACATAAATGCTTTGGTTAAAATGAATTATATTTCCATAGGCAAAAGGAATTAATACATCTTTGCAATAAAAATACAAATCACAAATTTCACCAGCTAAGTTAAAATTATTTTCAACACACCTGCCTGAATTATTTAACATTCACTTTTACATTTTCTTGTATAATTTTTGAAATTTTATATATAATTCAGGAAAACAGATGAACTATATTATTGTATATCATCTTGGAATTACATAATACTCAATTTTGAGTATTATGGAAGAAAAGAAAGTGTTATAATTTAGGAATATTGAAAAATCACACATAAGGAGAACTTTTGGTTGCAAAAATTAAAGTACATTCCTTACCTAGATTTCATGAGAAGAAAATTTTGAGACTTCATTGTTTGCTTCCTGATGATGGTGTCAGAAGTTTAATATGTATAACTTGCAGTCTAATGCACTTGGGATTACAGAAACAAAAATCTCACTGACCCATAGGTCAGTGTTAGTAATCATGTCCCTGACATGGTAAAGTGTTCCATCAAATCCATCAGGGAATTGCTTGCACTGACATCAATGTATTTCTGTGGAGACATGCATTCCTGAATAATTCAAACCACATGGAATTAAAGCTGCCTTGTGAGACAGGAAGAATGAAGCAAATTAATTTTACTAAAGTTGGTTGAAAGATCATTTTGCTGATCTCTGTGTTACTGCAACTATTACTACGAATATCTATCTATCTATCTATCTATCTATCTATCTATCTATCTATCTATCTATCTATCTATCATCTATCTATTTAGCTATCTATCTATCTATCTATCATCTATCCTATGCTTTTTTGTTCAAGGCTAGAACACTTTTCCACTTTTATTTTTATTCATTTATTTTTTTCTGGTGGTTAATTGGAGATAAGAGTACAAGAACTTTCCTGTTCTGGATGGTTTTTGAACTTCGATCCTTAGAAGTTAGGATAAGGCTACCACCACACAGCTCAATTATTATCATTTCTTTTACAGTTTTCTTCATGTTCTATGAATAAATTATATAATTGCTAGTAAATAATATCAAGGTAGTTGATAGTTCACCGAACCAAGTGAAGTTAATATAGGTTATTCAAAATACTAATATTTGTAGAGGAAATTGAGGGTATATTAGGTTCATTCAGGTTTATTAGCTTCTTCATTATGTGAGTTCAATTTGTTTCTATGTCCTACAAAATACTTAGGTAAATGTTATTTATTTTTGTCTGTATTATATTTTACTGACATTTTCTCTGGTCTTTTATGCTTTCAACAGATCCCCTTAACCATTAAATGTATGTGGTCTTCTGTATGCCCATAGTTTATAGTGTTATCATAATAATGTTAGAATAATTTATAAGAAAAATGATGTAATAAATAAAAATTGATGTTTGTTACAATTGAAATTCAATTTCCTAAAACTGAAAATGTCTGAAGTTCAGAAGCTTTGTCTTCTTAGGAAGATAAAACATGGAGCATTAGAAAACATTGATAATACATATTTCTTGAAAAAAATACCTAGGATTCAATATGTGCAAAGACTGACCAAAACACAAAAATAGAGAATTTAATTTACAAAGAGTAAAATATCTGAATAAATATCTACAAAAATAATATACAAACTAGGTGTTGTTGGTTCATACCTGTAATCCTAGCTACTTAAAAGGCTGACTATTGAATTCAGACCTGGAGAAAAGTACAAGGCTCCACCTCCAAGTATCAGCAAAATGTTGGAGTGTAGGCAAAGTTCAAGTGGAAAAGCACCATTAAAGCAACAATGGTGAGGATAGTAAGGGCCTAAGTTCAGGGCTTTGTATTGGCACTTGCACTCACACACACGCGCACACACACATGCACGAGCACACACACACACAGAACATAAATGACAAGCATAAAAAAAGTTGTTCATTTGGGAATGGGCTCAGTTGTAGAACACCTCACTAGCAATGTCACACATTGAACGGAAACTAGTAGCCCAAAGAAATAAAAGATTCTTAAAGTCATTTATAATAGTGTACTACAAATAAAAAAGTGAAAGGATACTGAAAAATGTAGGTAAAAATCCAATGATATTTAAATCACAGAAGGACATGTAAAGCAGGAGAAAAACACATAGTCTACTGTTCTAGATATCCTAGAAGCAAGGACATGGCAGAAACCTCCTGTTTACATCTGCTTTACTGGTAACATTAACTAGGGTTATGTACAGATATGTCTGACCTCTAGGAATAAAGCACAAATACACAATTTGAACTTGTATCAACTTGTAGTACAAAAATAACAAAAAATTATGAAATCTCCAAAGCAGACAAAATATATTAACCCACATACATAATAATATAAGAAAGAGCAGGGATATCGTAAGCAAAAGAAAAAAATTCCAGTTGCAATACATGGAGTGATTTGATCAAAAAGTTAATAAGGTGATATTTGGATACAATGGATGACACTAAATATTGAGAAGTCCATACTGATTTAAATAATGGAAATAAGCTGGGAAAAATGTTTGCTGTTCAGATTTTCAAAGTGGCTTTTGAAGCATTTTGCCTTCAATGACTTGATTCATTACTTCTCACTCTTTAAGTGGGGTGTATGATGACTTCATTGTAAAGGGTACAAGTAGGAAAAAGGCAGGGAGTGACTTTACAGGAGAGAAACTAGCGTGTACAATCTCAGTCAGGTGCTCAAGGTTAACATCAACAGTTATCTGTAATCATGGTAGTATTTAAGTTGATGCAATGTGATAACAATGGCAATTCACTTCTGTCATTTCAATCTCCGAAATGCAGAGCTGAAGTCAAATAATGAGAAATCAATGAGAGAAATCTTAGCTTAAGGGTATTCTACAAAATGCCTAAGCTATATTCCTCAAAAGTTGCAAGGACTTTGAAAAGGAGTGCTAGACAAAGTGATACAACCAAGAGGAACCTGAGGAGCTGTAATGAGGTCTCCTGGTGGGTATCCTGCAACAATAGAAAATTAGGAACATACTATGTAAATCTGAATGGCCTTAACACCAGTACACAATCATGTATTAGCTTGACTCACTAATTAAAATCAAAGTGTTGCAGTAGTATGAGATGTCAATAGTATGCGGGAATGTGTCTGTTTGTGTGTCTGTGTGTCTGTGTGTGTGTATGTAGATTTCTGTAAATCTGAACAGTCTTTTTATTTTCAAAAATTCACTTGAAAAAGACATCATAGCAAGACACTTATTTATTTGGGAACAAATAGGGTTTTCAGAACCTTTGCTATCTATGCTCCTATAGTACATGGGAGCCAGACTTCCAGCCGGGTAGTTTTCCTAGTTGTTTCAAGGCAGAGGTCTCTCTACCCACCTGTGTATGAGTCTGAGTGGAGATCCACCTACTTCAGACTTCCCTTCATCACAAGATCACAACCCCTGTTTCCAGTCTATTTGACTCTGGTGCTGCCCTGCATCTTGTATATACAGTTTTCTAGTTTGGGAAGGAGAAAGGAAATGATAAAATGCTGTAACAAGGATACAGGTTGACTCATTGTAACAATGTTATGTATAAGACATAGTGTTGAAAATGAACTTTACAAC